TGTATTTAAACTAGATTTCTTCACTGAGTTCACTCTAATGAAAATCACAAAACTAAAGAGTGAATCGTTGCAACAAAATATTTGCTCTTTATCTTTGTCAAAGTTTCTAGGATTTCAATCACTGCACACTAGTTCATTACAATTTCATTGTATCTCTCATTCGTGGGTATTATATTTCACATCAACTTTTATCTAACTCTTCCTTGAAATCGTAATTCCCTCTCATCTAAGCAACACAATTTATTCAACGAATCACAGTTGTAACGATACTTCCTTGAAGCTATTGACATCTCATCTGATTATTGTATGAGAAAATCCGTTTAACACACATGTATCTCTTAATACTCACACTGCTTAAGTGTAAAAGTAGGTTGTACATGAAAGTGTAGTAATTGATTCAAAGAGTATTTGATGATTCTGATTCAATGACAATTGAGACAATATCTCTATTTCATCAGAGTAGATAAACATGACTATATCTTTTGTGTGAATCAGCAAAACAAACATAATTGAATGCATTTAGAAATTTCTTTATGCATCAATTGCTTAAATAGATAATTCAGTCACTAAGGATAAACCTACGACGATGAAGTGACTTTTTATTTGATTTACCTTGACTCTCAAAATGATTAGTTCACTGAACTCATTTAAAATCAATTTCTAACTAAACTTTGTTTAAATGGATAAACAGAAAAGTGAGAATTTGAAAGACTTGAATAGATCAGTGACCTTGTGCTTTTCAAACTAGTTTCCTACCTGATAGCATAAAGTAGCCATAGACATGTAAGTAGTGAAAATTCTTGAGCTAGTCAGTTATCTACTGAAATAAACCTCCGCTTTAATTCAGATAAGAAAATTTGATAGAATTGCTAGTTAACGTATTTACAGTCACTGTCAGGGAAGTCCACCTCACTGCCTTCTCGCAGTGGTAGTGTTGTTTACGAAATTGAGAGAACCAACAGAGAATATTCGGCGCAGTAACCGGGTCATTGATGGTATTGCTTATGGTGAAAATAGAATCCAGTATCTCTCCGCTTTGCCAAAGCATTAGCAACAAACCATACTCAAACCTGAATATATATAGATAGAAAGAGACAACAATCGATTCATCACTACGCTGATGAATATTTAGTATTCTTCTATTACTATCCTTTTTATGATTACTTCATTAGTGCTCATTCTATTACGTAATCTTCGTCAAACTAATTCCTATTTTATGTATACAAATATGATCCCTTTATTTATTAGTTTCTTCATTTACTTCACCCTTCCATTTCTAATTCTAGACGACTACCATTCCATCGCTCTTAATCTTCCTTATCTGTTTTCAAGTGATTTGTACTTTATATAATCTCTTATAGTCTTCTATAAATGTCATGCAGTTCATCTTATCACTTTTTGAATTTCATTTAATTGCCATCTAACCCTTATCCATAATTCGGAATTCCACCTTTAAACAACCTCATACATGTTCGCACACCGATATATATGTATAGTGATCATGGATAGTTTTTTGCTAATCTAATCCCTTCCGTCGTCATGTCAATTGGCTTCTATCATATCAGTACATCAATGTTACACTTTATTACCATAAACGGTTGTAGGTGGCTGATAAGAGAGAACGAAATATAATGAATTTATTTTATTCCACCCAAACTGTAGTTTTATTTTTTACAAGTGGATAGTAAGCTGATTGGCGTACGAATAAGGATAACGATAGTAAGACAAGCAAACATTTCAACATAGACTCGAAACCAGGACATTCAGTCTCTCATCTGAACTCTGAATTTTTTAACCAACTCACAAGTAACCAACGATTTTGATGTTTAACTTCACTCGATACACGAGCACCTTGCGCTCGATTCCGCAACGTGGATCTCACTGATGGGAAGTCTCTTACCATGTTAAAACGGCTACTCAGCGCTTTGACGTTTCTAATGGTGGTCGAATTAGTATTTCCTGGTATGAACACAGAAATAAAAGAGCTATAACAAACAACGGAAGGTAATAAGTCACTTAAAGTAAGGTATTCAAACACTTCACTTCTATCTGAAGTTTGTGCTGATGATGTCGTTCAGGAGGACGATGAACGCTCCACGACCAAACCATCCAGCTCAGAGAACAAAAATCCATCAAAATCATTCACCTGAGCTACAAATCTTCTCCACCACCTCATTAACAGTTAGTTTTGTATCCGGGTCATTTTATGAAAACTGGGGTCTCGTTTGATGTACGATTCATTGTCATACCGCTTTCTGTTCCAAAGCTGTTGTAACTTGAACAAAAGCCTTTTGTACCCATTTTTCTACTCTAACACTCAGTTTTAACATTGTTGTATTTTTCTGATTGTTTGGATGTTATTGTCCTGTTAGTCGACTATTTATTCACGTATCTTTTATAGTAATCTGAACTGAGAATCACAAATCGTAAATAAATCGTGTAGTGTCCAAGTTGATTTGTGATTTCTTCGCTTCCCTCTCCTGTCATCCAATGGGGTAATAGGATGGTTTTCGTCTCGTTGCTCGAAGTCGTTAGTCTCAATTCGAACTCAGGCATTTCTCACCCCATGTTTGAACTACTCAGTGTATTGTGTTAGGGCCTCAACCTATATCGAGACAGGTTCTCTCTTGTACATTATCTGGTTGACAGACCAAGGACGTAACAATGAGGTCCAGGTTTGAACTAAAACTTACTTACATTTTGAATGTATCTAAGCTTGAACAGATGAGAACAATCAATCTTAACACAACATTGTGTAATTTTATATGGAAAGGTTTAAATTGTTTGGTTTTGATGTTACGGTTTGGAGTCGACAAGTCTTGCTGTCAAACATTCATCCAGAGAGGATCGGCTCACATGATTTCACTGAAAAGTATTCAGCTAGCAACGTGATCCATGACTTCCGCTTTGTCTAATTCAAGACTCGTTAACTGAATTTACCTGCACCTAGTAGCTAAATGTAAGACACATCAAGTAGGTGAAGTGAAGTTCACCAAATTCAATTCTTAGCTCAAAAATCAACCTGGTAGTTCATTTAAATTCAAGCGATGAGTCCCAAATGGAACGCAACGCGAGTCTTGGATTTCATCAATAGCTAACATCATTTAATTGACCTATCCATGTATGTCATATTTCAACTAAAGTAACACAAGAATTATCAACTTATAGTTACAGAGCTTGATAGAAACGACTGTTTACTCAAATACTCATTGTTTTACTCAGTATTGAATTGTTTCCCTGGATTTCTCAACAGATCAAGGGACTAGACTAACTCGGATAAAAGCCTTTAACACTGTGAAACCTACGTTGGTTACTATCAGTAGTGATAAGTATGTTGATTGAATTAACCAAGTTGAAACTGTATTCATAAGCGTGTTGATATGATGAAATAAAATGCACATTCATCGATCGCAAATTGATAATAATAGTTGTACCTTCATCGGCATATTGAATATGGTAGATATTGATGATTATCGTATTCCACACTATCTACATATTTATATACAGTGGATTCCATGACATTCAATATTGTCCATGGTGACAAATTATTGAATTTGTTTGAAGCCTTAGAACCTTAATCTAACCATTGCTAAATTCTGATCATGTGAAATATAATCAATGCTAACTTGGTATTACTTGTTTGAATCTTCATACTGATGTCTTTAAGACTGTAATTGATCAGTCTCTTATTGGCATATGTGCATACTGTGTGTATCACCTTGATATAGCCTTATTTCATAAGCATTATATGCAAAGATGGATATTGCCTAGCAGTAGAATCCAGGACACGCGTTTCGTCCTATTTGAAACTCCGTACTGCGTTCGAGTCCAAGAGTGAACATCAACTCATATACAGGTACATCCAGCTGACGAGACTCAAATAAGATAACAAACGCTTTGTCCTAGATTCCACTTCTGGCTACTATCCATCTTTGACTACTAACGTCTTTTAATGACCTTCTTTATTATTAATGAGCTAATATGATTAGATATAAGAGTTAGCAAACGATTACATCAGATCATAAAGCAAACATTATCACTGATTCATGATAACCTTTTCTTCTCATTGATGTGATTAGTTCCAACAACATCAACATTAGATTGTTTTGTATTCTAAAAATCTTCAAGGTAAAAATAATGCCTACTTCATCTGTTTTACCATATCAATGTCATACATGTTCACTACAGATCCTATCTGTTTGTCTTGTAATTCTTGTTATTTCATGAAAGAAGTATATTCAAGATCAATAGTCGTTATGTATTATTCTAGGATGTGATCTTATCATAGTCATATTATTAGTTAGCTAAATATTATATGTACCAGATATATAGTCTAGATGAATTATTCAACAGCCTAGATAGATCAATACAACTGATTCCTTGTAGTACAGTTATTTTATTATATTTATTTAAACACATAAATATTGGTACAAGGAAGCACCAAATAGATATGCGCCACATAAATCATTCGATTTGTGTGAGGGCTGTGATACTGCCAGGGTGCCCAGACCGGAGCAGGTGGGCCACACCCAGAGCCTTTGACCTGAAGGTCTGATTCAAAGGACAGTGGATCATCGTGAGGAGATGCAGTCCCATGGTAGCCGATGACCAACGATTGGTTCGTAAGCCATTCGTTCACTCAGGATACTGGAGCCCGTGTGCACCATTGGTTTGAAATCCAGTTAAAGCGCCAGACATTCGCTTTTCGTCCTCTCAATTTCGTAAACAGCACCCCTGGTGGGAGAAGGCAGTGAGTAGGAGTTACCTGGCAGACACTGTATACGCGTGGCCATGTGAGAGCATTTCAAGAGGGAAGGCTGGCCTACCCCACTCTCGGCCATAACAGGGCATTTAGGGGCTGTAGTACAATTAGATCATATGGATTCCAAAATATAACAAGAAAGATGTTTTCTTGTCACATTATATACCTTTATTTGTAATAATGATTTTTAATGATGCATAGAACAAACAAGATATACTCAAGTAAAATTACATGTGGTAACAAATGATTACATAATTCGTACTGTATTATCAATATTTTACGTAATATTTTGGATGATAAACTTATTGAAAAGAAAGAAAATATAGATTTAATTGAAAGAAAATGTTGCAATAGAACACTTCTGATGTCTTGTGAAGAACATCATATGTGGAAAAGCCGATTCCTCGAGGAACAATTAGACCATCTAAAACAAACACATGTATGTATTATATAATAATTGACATATGAATGACACTGAGAAAAAGTCCATTCACGATCATAATAAGTAAATTAAATCTTCTATGAAACACTTGAGTATTGTTGAGGACGTTGGATCCCCAGAACTCACTTGAGAAAGGACCCAATTTTGTAATTTTATTTAGAAAATTTGAATTTCTTCATTTTCATGGCAAAGGTGCTCTTGTCACCTTCATGTCGTATTTAACGCTGGGAACTATCTTAAATGCTATTGGTCCGTTGGGTCGTTTTCTATGCTATTTGGTAACTCTCTCCAAGGACGGTTTTGTACTGCATATATACATTTTGAATTGTGTTTGTTGTCATCGCTCGTTTCAGGCTGTTTGCAGAATATACTTCCTTATTCCAAGCTTGCACTTCTTACTCTATTTAACGGGGCTAGGACGCGTCAATAGCCAGCTTACTGGTCTTTGGTCACCGAGTCTTGTTTTCTGGTTTGCAGATTAAGTGAACTCGTGATAGATTCAACCCTAGAAAGTATGTCTTTATCTACCTCGCTCCTGTTACCCCGATCTCTGAAAAACATTATCCAACCCACACTGTCCTCGGCCTTCCTTTCTGGTACTTTCCTATTGTTGTTCATTCTTCTCATATCTGTCTCCATTTCTCGGCATATTGTATTTTTGGTTTTTCGTCTTCTTCTTTGACCTTGAGGAGTTCAATTGGGTATAAGCTACGCTTTAATTACAGTGGTTTATATTTCTACTTGGTTATCTAACCAAAATAAGTTAAACATTGTTCGAAACTATAAACAAGATTGTTTTAGGAACAATGTGAATGATTGTGTCAATATTTAGTGACACTTAAAACTATTGTGTCATTTTATCTTAACCTCTACAATTAACACATCACCTTTGTCTATTTTATACTTCTAACGTCCATCCTTAAAGGAAACATTTCAAATGGATTCATATTCAAACTGATCAAGACTTTTAATCATTTAGAACGAAGCATGTTGTAATATTATATATAAGATTATTGAACTCACCTATGTAGTCGTTTGTAATTCGGCAAAGTTTTCTCCTAGATCATTCAACAACGTAACATAATGTACAGAATAAATCATGTTCATCATCAATATTATTATTATTATTACATATAAGTGGTATAAATCCCTTTTTATAAATACTTACAATTAGCCAACAACATATTAGTATTGATAATGTTTGATTTATTGTATCTGCATGCCACTTTTCGTCTAAATCAATCAGTTGAGACCACATTTCTCTCATAATTCCAATTCTTAAATATGTAATTTCAATGGTCAGTTGAAGCTGGACCACCAAGGAAAACCTGAAAGCACTGGACAGCCGTGTCGTCCTATTGTGGTACTCCTCGGCAGTGCGCATTTACGACTCCACCCCCTGCGAGATTCGAACGCAGGACCCACTGGTTTCGCGCACGAGCACTTAACCACTAGACCACTGAGCCAGCAGCCCAAGGTTTAAAAAGATCGAAGAAAACAGAATGAGAACGGAGAATAATTGGTGTGGAAACAATAAAGTCCAAGACATTTTGCTGATGGAATATTGACTGTATGATTCTCAGATTTTTGCTAAGATATTCCGTCAAGTTGTATTCAGACACATTTGGTTGTCCACATTGATGTTCTCGTTCACTACAGTAGTACATGTATATGAATATTGATAATTGCCCCTGATAAATTAAATAAATATGATTATACTTTATGAATGACCTTCGAGCACCGCCAAAGTGACCTTGAGAATGTTCACATACTAACTAGGACTAAATGAAGACTATAAATCATGGTGAAGAAATAGAATGAAAAAATTTACTGTTGGTGATTAAGGGTTATAAATTAGATTTATGGATTTATCGCGAAATGACATCAGCTAAAGTGGCGAGACTCTAATTTATGAACGAGTCAATCAGAGGAGTTTTAGAGATTTCAAGGTTACAGCGCCAACTTCAGTGCTTGGTGCTAACGTGCAATCGCTTCACAGGGGACTTTGTACAAAACGTGATAATTTAGCGGCTATAACAAATAAAACGGCGAGACTATAATTTGTGGACGAATCAATCGGCTATAAGATAATAGATCTCGGATTTTAACGCGAAAGCTTTTCATCCATTTGGCTAAATAAATTTCTGGCATTATAGCTGGTGTCAGTTCGTGATGAAAACCCCATATATAATTCCTAACTAAGGCAAATCATGACAATTATTCCGAACTGGATAATAAAAGCACCATTGACACTGGCTGCAGCCAGGTACTACAATATATATGGATTTTCTGAGATCGTACAGATGCCTACATAGGCTTGGTTATGTGCATCATGTCGTTATCCACAAGTAGCATTTTGTGCACTCAACAAGTGGAGTGCACATAAACAATATTGAAGCTATGTGGTCGAGGCTGAATGAGTTTTTGCGACTTTATCATGACTCCAGAGGCCGATTATTCTGTAGGCGTATGGATGATCTTCTCTACTGCATGCATTGCAATTTTAGAACCTCTGAACCTCTTTCCAACCTCGACACGTTTTTGAACCATGTAAAAAAAGTGTATCCAGTTTATTTCCTTAGTTTTGTATGACATATTTTTACTCGATACCGACCGTTTGCTGATTGACTCATATTCCTCAAGGTTACTCAAGATTCGTTCAAAGGTCGTCCACAAATTAGAGTCTCGTTCTAAAGATGTAAAAAACGCTCTTTGACCAAATAGGTGAATGAAATTCGAGCCAAAATCCGTAACAGGTTATCTTATATCCTATTGATCCGTCCATCAATTATAGTCTCAACATAAAATTATACTTCAATTATAAATATGGTAATAGACTCACCGAAACATTTATTATAGAATGTGTACTTTTTCACTACAAATGAAACACAAGGAATGTTTTATTTATTGTGACGTTCAAATGTCAATTCACTTTAAACCATTAAATAAAATGGAACAAGTCAACTTCTACTTACATCTTTCTGGAACTAAATCTGTAAGTGAATTAGTTTTTCTGATATGAGTCAAATAGTATTTATTATTTAAAAGATATACATTCACTGACTTTTATTAGATGAGATCATGAGTCAATTGAGGTCAGACCATCACGAAAAACCTGGAAACACTGGATGACCGTTTCGTCTTATTGTGGGATTCTTCAGCAGAAAACATTTACGATCCGGCCTCACAGGATTCGAACCCAAGGCCTACCAGGTGCATGAAACGGCTGTCCAGTGCTTTCAGGTTTGCTATCGAAGTCTAGCTTCAATTGACTTATTATCTCAACTATTAAAGAATTACTATGATACCCACAAAACTCCTTCTGATATACATTCACATTACAATCATTTGTACTGACTCACATTTATCACGAGAACACGACTGGTTTAATAAGAACAATTATTATTATAACCAACTGTACCAGTGTTTGTTTTAATGTGCTTTTGTTTCACTGTGCTAATGACAGCTATATTGTACTTCCATTCTTATACTCACACTTTTGATTGTGACTTCGCGCGAATTCGGTTACGTTCTGTAACCAAGCTTGTATCCTGGCACGATTTCGGTATCCTTTCGATGCCACGAGATCGCCAGCGAATATATCTCAATTTCGTCCATTAACTGCCTTCTGATATTTGGCTTCTCGGGGATTTTATGGATTTATTTGGTTACGTTCAACTTTCGCCTTCTGATTTACTTGTCACGTGTTTCTCTGTAGCGGTGTTCGTAGTTAATCTCAACTCGACGCCATGCTACACATTTAGTGACTGTAATAAAATACAAATGAACCTATAATAACTTAGAGAAATTACACATGCACACAACCCATACATTTGATATGTCATATCTAGCATTTGTACAAACATAAATGCGAACGAGACGTTAGGACATCTTGAATTGGTTAGTCAAAGAACTGAATAAATGGAGGCTACTGAATCAATGAATTGCTTTTACAGTTGCTAGAATCATGTTAAAGCATCATGTTACATCAAGTATATCTCTACTCGATTATTAATAGTGTGTGAAGGATTTTCAAGCATCACATCTACTTTGCAGGGTTAGCCCACTAGTGTCATCAATGAAATCTTTTCCATTAAACAAGTATTTACAAAAGATAATAAATTGAACAACAATCAACCAACCACGGTATTCGTCAATTTTCTCATCTATATTGTTGTACGATAACAAAACAAAATGATTTTGCAAAAAGACAATAACTTTCAAAACATATATTTATCATTCACTTGATATTGCTTGCTTGTGTCTGACTATTGCTTTTTAGGACTGCAATCGATCAGTCTCTTGTTGGCATATGTGCATCTTGTGTGGACTGTCTTGGTATTGCTTTAGGTCACAAGTATTATAAGCAAAGATGGGACGAAACGCGCAACCCAGGACCTATCAGTCTCGCGACAGGCGCTTAACCAACTAGACCACCCAGCCGGAATCCAATGGTTTTAATGTCTAACCTCAACCAATCCATTCATTGTTATATTATAAAGACATTCGAATACTGAGCTGCACTAGCGTAATACCTAGGTTTATTTGTACGCTCTCATGTAATGGTAAACTACTGATAATATACGTCAATGTCAGTATTACTGGCCTATAATTTTAAATCGTAAATGTTACTGCTTTTAAATAATCGAATTCAAACGATAATGGTAATACACACTATATAAACAAGATGTCACCATTCATTAGGTTAATAATATTCATATAAAGAATAACAGAATTACTTCATATTTGATATGCTACTTACAATCATCATCTGTTCGAGTACAGTCTATAGTTATCGAAATGATAGCGAACAATAACCATAACTTATTCATTATGATCATTTAAATAAGAGAATAAACTGTTTATTATACATAGTAATCAGTTTAATCAAGCCTTTATATACTCTTGTTAATACTGTTAATGAGTTCAACCAATAGATGAATAGTCCAAAATTAGTTAGTCATTCAATCATTATTATTTTATCCACCAGACAATAACATTCCGATATTCTTTAACAATGTGATGCATACTGACTAGTCGATTTCATAAGTTAACTTTCCATGTATTTAGTCATTATCAGATTATTTTCTGTATTATTTCATGCTGATTATTACTAAAACTATAAAGTAGACATCTTACTGGTGTTGATTTAAGGTTTAAATAAGATAAAAAGTTTTTCTTTGTTGACAAGCAGATATGTAAAAGAAAGAGTAACGACAGCACAAAACGTTGATAGTAAAGGAAATATGAGGCAACTATATGACACGTAAAAGAAACAGACATGGAAGTATAGTAAACCAGAGGGGCCGGACAAGAATAAAGAAGATAACATAATCACTCAGACTTAAGGACAGAGAAATAGATAGGTAGAACAATTAGAGAAACATATAGATAGATCAGCTCCACTGATTATATCGGATATCGAAGCAATACACACAGACCTTGCTATAGATGTCACTCCGCCAACGATCGAAGAAATCAGGATGGCCATCAGACAAATCAAGATTGAAAAAGCAGCAAAACCTCACAATATACCAGCTGAAGCACTGAAATCAGAAATAGGAGTATCTGCAAACATGTTTCACGTTCGATTCAACAAGATTGTCGGTAAACAAGGAGGATCCGATGTAGATGTTAACACGACGACTGGCAAAGCAAGGGCCGCATCCATGCAACTAAAGGATATTTGTAACTCAAAACAACTATCAGCCAATGTCAAAGTCAAAATCTCCAGTACGAACGTCGAAACAGTACTATGTGGAGTTGAAACATGAAGAAATAACATATCGATCATCAAATTCGTACGAGTATTTAAAAACGGTTGGCTAAGCAAGATACTCAGTATCTGTTGACTGAATACTATCTGCAACGACTTACTATTAGAGAGATCAAACCAGATTTTATCCAAAAAAGAAATTAAGAAAAGATGGTGGAAGTGGACAGGGCATGCATTACGAAAATCATCAAACTGCATCACAAAAATAGCCCTAATATGAAATCCTGAATTGCAAATAAAAAATCGAAAAAGATCAAGAAACACATTGTAATGAGAATCTGAAGTAGGCATCAAGAGAATGGACAGCAAGTAAAGACAAATGGAAATGATTGCTTGTGACAGAGTTGAGTGCAAAATTTTGGTTAGAAGCATATTCTCATACACCAAGGATATCAGATGTAAGTATATCTTGTTGTACTAACTCAAATTTAGATATTTATTATGATAAAGGTGCCTAAATAATCAGTAACTAGTTTATACATAATATTGAGATTCAGCAATTCCTATAGAATCTCCTTTCACTTTTTGTGTTTTCAATGATATAACTTTTATGATATACACATAAAACCAACTCTTCAGTACACAGTGTTCATGGTAATATAATTGAGAGTTTACAAAACCTAACCAGTGTTTCCTGAGCACAAGCTATGTGAAAGAAGAATGGTATATTCTAGACATTTTTGTCTAGATCAATAGAAGATTTAGGTCACACAGAATGAGATATAATGATCTGTCTAGCTGATCATATTTCATAAGCCGTCAGATTGTCAAATTGAAAATCAGTCATCACTTTTTGATAGTATCTGCAAATTCACAGGCTGATAGAAGATCTTTGAAATGCATTTGTGATGATTGTTAAATTTCGTCAACGCCACGAACCGATCAAAGTCAGAATGTGAAGCAAACCCTTCGTAAATATGTCATAACTGTTATACGTATTTGTTGTTTTTTCGATTTTATCAAACCTGATTTGTGATTGCACACTTACAACTCTACAATCTGCAGTTCGCAATATTCGCCATCAGTTTTGTAGTCCTTCAGTTGAACAACTGTTTCATACTCAACATGATTTAAGTCGACTTCTTGTCAATTCAATTTATAACTCCCAGAATAACTCATCAAAACCGATCGTTTATATCGGGTCCTCATCTTACTTTTTGGGGGTTTTTGAATATTGTTGAATTTTGTGGTTTTAATCACAAGATAGTTTTGAAAATCTGTCGATAACCAAAAACTACTAGACTGATTTTCTCTTGGTGTGGTACTTAACTTCGTCAAGCAATCGTAGACCTACTCAGGGTTGAACTTGCATCTTTCAGGTCTCGATGAGTCTACTGACTTTTGAACCAATATTCAGAGCTTATTCAAACTGAGCTTTGTTTGTGATTTGCTAGGTTTGAAGCTATCACAAGTTCACTTAATCTGAGAACGAGAACAAAGACTCAGTCACCAAAGACCAGTAAGCTAGCTATTGATGCGTCCTAGCCCCGATAACTAGCGGAAGAAGTCCAAATATGGAATGGGGAAGTATATTCTGCAAACAGCCAGAAACGAGCGATCACACGAACACAATTTAAAACGTATATATACCAATTATATGTATATAATCGATATTGCCATGGAATTTCAAAAGATCTGAGTTCTAAAGAATATGGATCAATTACCTTATGGTATTCAAACTAGTGTTCTACCTAACAACATAGAGTAGCCTTGGATAAGCAATTAGCTGAAAATTAAGGATCTAGTCAGTTATCTATTCAAATTAACTTTCACTGAAATTCAGATAAGTTCATTTGGTAGTAGTGTAAGTTGATTGCACATTACAAGTTCTCTTGTTAGAGGGACATAGATTGGATTAAAATAGTATCCTGTGCACGATTGTGTTGGTGAACACTAATTGGCTATTGCTTATTCAATCAGCACTAGTCGATACTTGGAGAACAATCTAGAATCTTCTCATTGTAAAAAACTATAAATACACTCATGTTTCTCTTATTGTACTTCTTACTTCCATCTACCCTTACTATCTGGAATATAATTTCCATGCTGATCAATCGTGTTCTGATTTGAGGACTTGTCAAGTGAATCGATGTCCAATA